ATAAAAGACGTGAGGAAATTCTGTCTTTTTTAAAGACAAAAATTTTTGAGGCGAAATACCCAAAAAGAAGTTTGTAAAAAAATGAATCCGCCTAACAATATAGAACTTATCTACAATTTTTTTGCAAGTTGTGAACATGAAGTTCCGTCATTTCTTCGTTGCGTTTTCACTTGTTTGAATAATTTTGGCACCTTTTCATCAGCTTTGTCCATATATTTTGCAATTTCATTACCCAGCGCTGTACTTCATTTTTCAGATGATGTCGAGTTTGGCTGCTGAATTAGACAACATGCTCTACGAATTGGGAACAACTCCAGCCTTTCCATATGGAAGGCTGTTGGAAGAGACCGAGGAAGAGGACGACGTCGATGATGAGTACAGGTGAGTCGATTTATTGCTTTATAAAGAAATGCTGCAAATAGTGCAAATTATTATCGGGAATCACTCTTGATCATTATGTGGTCTCATGCTGGATGCTAATACGAGAGACAAAAAAATGTTCCCAGCTTCCAGTTTTCCATTTTAATCTTCGATGGCCGTGTTTTGTTTGTTGAACATCCGACATCAAACTTACTGAAGAGTTTTGGCGTGCAATAATCAATCTTAAACACATTAAATTGTGCCAGAATCAGCAATTTATCTTTGTTTTGCGCAGTTTCAGCTCATATACATCAGAATTTAGCACCATAAATCATCATGTATGGGCAAGTGATACAAATGATTTCGCTTGATTCCGCCCCATTTTCCATGGCGCGGAGTAAATAACTGATTTTTCTGACTGAAACTATGGGGCCCCAAGCACCCCTGGTGCGAGCACATAAATTTAAATGAAAATAATTTCAAAGTAGGCTTCTTTTTTTTTAAGGCTCCCAAAGATGCAAATATTACATGGGACACAGGGAAAGCTTTCGTCAGAGGCACATAATAGACACATAGGAGTAATAAAAGCAATTTTTTTTATTACAAAACAAACCCATAGTTAGTAATAAGAAATAACAAAGGGGATGAAATCCGTCCCGCACATCTTCACAGTTGCTGAGTGCGCAATTTCTGTTACCAGCCGCTCAGAAAACTGTATTTTCTTGCAATGAAACTGTCACCTTAGCTGGTTTTTGTCTTCTTTTTTGCCCCAAGATTCCGCAGCAGCACAAATACTTTCGCTACAATGCTCGCCAATAAAGCGGAGAAAAACATCAAAAATGCTGCCACGTCTATGAGATAGTACTGGTACCAGGCCAGATCCTTAGCGGCAGATTGCAGTATTGGAGCCCCTTGGTGCCTGACAATATATTCCACCCAGTATACTGCTGTGTCCATCGGCTTCATTGGCCTGTCTTTGAAGTATGCGGATAACCTTTGCGCGTTGGCCCTATACCTGAAATTTTCACTTTCTCAATGATATTCACGTGGAAAATGTGCTTTTGGTACTGACTTGGGGTCCTCCAGTAACTTTCCAGCCGCGATCACCAGCGTCTCTTTGGTAATTTTTTCATAGTCCACCATAATTCCGAAGCCCATGGCTTC